TTACAAGGCTTTGCAGGACGTGTCTGTGGTGTCCTTGAGGAGATGCTGTTGTGAAAGCTGTAAGGAACAACCTCCCATGGCAGGTGTTGCTGTGGTGTGTAGGTTTGTGCTCTGTAATTGCTGATGAACAGCGATAAACCCCAAACCACACAGTCCACAGCAGGAATCTGCTCAGCAGCAGAGCCTTGGGACCTGCTTCAGTAAATAGAGGCAAGAGGGAGAAAAGGGGCCCCAGCATTAAACCACTTTGACCGATCCATCATCGTCAACCTGTTCCATCATAGAGCTTGTAAAAGGGAAACTGGTCCCTTTGGAGAGTGTGAGGGAGACCAGTGCTACCAGTCAGCTGGTAAAGTGTGTCCAACCAGAGTGGAATTACCAGGTGGAACAAGTCATTATGAGTCCATGGACATAAAGGACACCATTTCCCACCAGTCCAGTGCCTGGTCTCCTGGGACACCTGTGTGATGTGTGCCTATTGCTGCCATGGTTTTCTAAACATGCAGGTTTGCTGTGTTTCCCTGTATCAAGTATGTTATCCATCATTCCCAGACACACCTGCCATGTGTATCAAAGGTGAAGATGAAGCATCTCCACAATGGTTGTTTTCAGCAACGAGACAGTGCTGAGCACTCTGTGGGCAGGAGGATTCTTTACTGTCATGTGGGTGGGTTATCCTGCAGGTGAGCTGGCTGGAGGGTGGCATGGCAAGGACATGCAGAGTGCAGCATGGATGTACATGGAGACATGTAAAGCCAATTTGCATCTTGAAATAGGAATAAAATGTGATAAAGCTGTAATTAAGTCATTTGAAATTTGATGTTAATCTTTTGAAAAATGTATTCGAAGTGCTGAAATGAAATAAAGATACAAGAGCAGGCCGTGGACCTCAACAACAGGAACAATCAAGAATGGTTTGGGGGTTCTGTTAATAATTTATCATTCTTTAATTGTGTTGTTGTTGGGTTTAATATAGTAAGTTCTTCGTAAATATGACACTGAAAATCATTCCCATTCCTTCTTCCCTCCTCGTGATACTGTCAGCTCATTTTGGAGCTTCCCCTGTGAACGTTACTGTTGGCTCAGAATGTTTGTCATGCAAAATAGAGCATGAAAAGGTAACGTCAGGGTACTATCAGGATTTCCGTGTGTTTATAAATTTTTATATATATATGTATATATATTTATATATGTATAAAGAACACATGCAAAGGGCACTTAGACTGAAAATGAGAGCCCATCATTGATCAGTATTTTTAGGGAGATCTGAGCATGCTCATGCAAATTACAGTGATAAGTTACCTCAGATTTAAAAATAAGTTATATAAATGGTTATATAAATGGATGGCACAATTAAAGCAAGTCAAACACATGCAGTAGTCAGAGTTGTATTTATGTGTATAAATACACACATGTACAAGTGGTTATTGCTGTACGAAGTTACTGATGTTGCCTGGGCAGAGCAGCTCTGACAGCGCTCAGCTGGTTTGGTTTAAAGTATTTTTGCAGCCTCAGTAACTGAAACACTAAAACTTGGACTTGTGGGACCTCCCATGGAGATGTTTAACCCAGAGGGTTGTGTACAGTAAAATCACTCCCATTGCTCGGTGTAAGTGAGCCCTCAGAGCCCTCAGACTCGGGTACAGGACGGCAAAGGCATCATTTGATTTCAATAAGCTGAAAACCAGTGATTGAAACACATTTCCCCTCCTCAGAGCTTGATTATTTGCAAACCCACCTTTGCCAGTGTCAGTGCAGATGTGCCTATCCAGCTTGAAATCCAAACCCATTTTGTTACCTGTGCTCAGGAAAAGCACCTGAACTCCTTTAGCAGTGGAGAAAGCTCTGTTTCTTCTCCAGTTCTTGATTGTCACGGGGTCTGGAGGTTCACTCTGGATCTATCCACAGAAACTGGAAATTATCCCTCAAAAGAAAACAAGAGTGAGAAAGATCAGCCTGAGGTGCAACTTTACACTGCTGAAATTGTGGGGTGTGAGATCACAGACCAGCACGGCAGTTCTTCATACAGCAAGATTACTTGGACATTTTTAGATGTGCCCAGGGAGTACCTACAGACACTTTTATCCCCTTGGGCAGGTCCTTCTCCTTCCTCTGCCTTCCTCTTGCACATCCACAGCTTGCATTCTAGAAACAGGCATATTCAGGATTTGGTGATGGAAATTTGGTGAGGGTGCTGTCTGTAGGCACCTGGGGGTTGGGTTATGGCAGCCTCTGAGGTGCTGCCGGGAGCATCTTCCTGCTGAGGACGGACACTGCCACAGCCTCTGCAGCCAGGGGAAGGTCCTGGAAGGGTCTGTGTACACAGCAGGGAAGGGAAAATATAGGGACCCGGGTTTAATGGATGAGGATTGGTACAGCCAACTGCAGTGCAGCTGGACCAGTGGACAGCAGCTGAAGGTGGGATCCCTGTGACTTTCAAAGGAAACAAGCTTTCAGAGAAGAGAGAACAGAAAGTAGCCCTGTACTAGTGACTGTGAAGAAAACTAACTGTATCCCAAGTGAAAGCAGCACACCCATCCCCAGGGTGTGTGACATCCCTGCTGTCCCCATCCCGCTGCGGTCACAGTGCGAGGGAGCTGAGCTGCTCCCAGTGCTGTGGCTTTTGGAGGACAAGTTACAAAATTAAGAATTTCTGAGGGGTCTGTTGACTGCAGGTGGGAGTTTGTAGTAAGCCAGTGTTACAGGTAGGCTGTGGATCTTGAACAGCCGGTGTTACTGTAGGAGTATTTGCAGTAACGTTCCTGTAGGAAAGAGAAATGGAGTGACAGGGTCATGGTGAGGCTGCAGTCAGTTTATAGAGGTTTTACATAATGGCTGATTTCTTGATATGTTTGCGCTTATTTTTGAAAGTTAATTCCTAGAATTTCAGAGGGCGAGAGGGATGTGTTTCACCAAGCAGTAACACATTGGTGTGTGTTACAGTGCTGCATTACGGGGGAAATGAGCCAGCGCAGCCAAACCTGGCTTCTGCTCCTCAGGTCTTGGGTTTAGCACAGCTTTTGGTGTCCCTTCTCCTGGGGGTCTCTTCCGGGAAGGTGACCTGTCTGCTCGGTCACTGGTGGAGTGGCATTCCTGGTAGAGATGCCTTTCATCTTTGAATCCTTGGGACAGCAAAGAAAGGCTGGGGTGAAATCAAATTCCCAGTGCTGCCTGTGGCCGTGGTGGGCTGATGACTGCCAGGGCTCACTCAGACTGCACTTCCTCAGGAGTTGGCTGTGTTGGTCTGTGGGGTCTCATCCATGTGTGTGATGTGTTCCATTGAACTATGAGACCTTGGCCTGTGGGGCCTCAAGGAATCGAACAGTGAAGCATTGCTGGTTTTTGGGTGTCTGACCTTCAGCTTTGGGAAACAGTTTTGTTGCTGGCACACACTGGTTCTAGGTAGGCCACATAACAGTGTGATGCTGGCAAAGACCGGGGTTGTGCAATAGCTGTAGGTTGCTGTGATCTAGAAACTTCATTTATTTTAGTTTGATTCATTTCCTTTTTTCCAAGATGGGTGATATTTCATTTATACAATGACACCAGTTTTTTTTACTGAGGAACAAAAGGCACATGCTAATAGCAGACACTTCCCTAAAGCAGTTTGACCTGTGATGGGGAGAAGGTGTCCTACGAGTGAAAACACATGCAGGCTGGATCACAGCGCTTCTCTGTGGAGGAAAGTTTATGCTGAGTTTGTACAAGGCTGTTCTGACTGTGGCTTTTCCACAGTCTGCAGCCTGGAGCTCTTCATGGAGCTGTGGTCAACCGCTGAGGTGACACGTTGTGTGAGGAAGAAGTGCTGAGGCACTAATGTCACGGAATTTTGTTGGTTATACAATAATGCAAGGGTTATTTTCCTCGAGACAATTCCCTTTCCTGCTCCCTTCTGCATTGGGCAGAATGAAGCCCGTGGTTTCCAAAATGTATGTGAAAATGAGTCCATTCCTGGGATTTTTTGTTTACTGTGGCACTTGACTCTCAGTGCATGTGAGAGAATGCACTTCATCACTCCGTCCCTCGGTTGTGTGCAGCAGATAAATAAGGATTTATTTTGATCAACCCAGCACTAATTCCATAGAGAAGTTTTGTGGTGTGTGTGGTGATAGAGATAGTTTGTAGGGATCTGGAGAGTTGCTTGTGCAGCCTGGTATGAGCTGGGAGCCAGAGGGAGGAAGGGTAAAGGGCAGCTTTATGCGTGAATCCACTTTGTGGTGTATGGCCACTAACCCAGCACAGCGTTTTCATCCAGGCAAGCCCCAGGACCAGGACTCAGCTTGCAAGTGCCCTTTACTCTGTAGAGCTCTCAGTGACCTCAGGGGGAAAACCTCGGTGTCCACCCGCTTGTTTTTCAGATCTCAGCCATCAGGAAGTTTAGGAGGAGTTGTTCTGCTGACAGAGGCTTTTGTTAGGAGTGTCCTGTGAGGAGACAGGTCTGAGGGCATCGAGCTTGTAAGGTGAGCGTCAGGCTGGTCCACGAGTGCACTGGCAACAACCCCCAAAGCCACGTACTCCTGGGTGTGGAGCTGCTGCTTTCCTTAGGACAGGGCAGATAGGGTTTGGGGCTGAAAGAAGATGTGCTTTTAGGTTCCTTCCAACTCAAACTGTGCTGTGATTCCATTCTATGACTGTCATTGGAAACAACTGCCCTTACATTAAATGACCTGTCCTCAGTGAGGCCTGGGCTCCCCTTCCCTATTCACAAGAGAAACACTCTTCAGATTCCAGGGCAAAATGCTTCAAGCATATTTACTCTCACAAGAATATTTTCTCGGGTGTATTCTCAAGAATATTTTCTTGAGTGTCTTCCCAAGAATATTTTCTTGAGTGTCTTCTCATGCTTCCACTCTGCCTTGGGAAACAAGTTGTTTCTGCTCAAACCCAACGTGTGCAGCAGGATGTAGTTCAAAGTCTTGCACTGCGAAGGTCTGTGCTCTCTGCTGACTGTAGGTCACAATGAGTTGTCTGAAAACGTGAAACATGAGAAGACTGAAAACTGAAACGTGAGAGGAGCTTTACGAGTCCCTACAAATATCCACAGTATTTACTTTTGGCAGTCTTGCATCTAGTCTTCAGCTGGGGTTGAGGTCTATTGTGTTAAGAGCTGTTGGAGATAAGTCTCTCCTCAGCAGTGCTCATCATCTGTAAGACAGAATCAAACCAAAAGGTTTTAATGTCATTTTATGACAATGATTAGGCACGTTAATGCAGATCTCCTGAGTACCTGGATGTTTTATTGCAGACAAGACCATTTTTCTCTTCCGTAGTGTTCTTTTTCTTATTTTTGCTTACTTATAAGGTACTTTTTTCCTTACTTGTTCCTGTCATGTTGCTGTTCCTGAAGTTATTGCATCTGTCTCTTGACTACTAGGAGGGTCTGGAGCACAAGCCTGATGAGGAGCCTCTGATGGAGCTGGGGGGGCTCAGCCTGGAGAAAAGGAGGCTCAGGGGGGACCTTCTCACTCTCTACAACTTTCTGACAGAAGGGGGAAGCCGGGGGGGTGGTCGGGCTCTGCTCCCAGGGAACAAGGGGCAGGATGAGAGGAAATGGCCTCAAGTTGCGGCAGGGGAGGTTTAGGTTGGATATTGGGGAAATTCCTTCATGGAAAGAGTTGTCCAGCCCTGGCACAGCTGCTCAGGGCAATGGTGGAGTCACCATCCCTGGAGGGATTTAAAAGATGTGTGGATGTGGCACCTGGGGACATGGATTAGTGGTGGCCTTGGCAGTGCTGGAGAACAGTTGGACTTGGTGATCTTCAGAGTCTTTTCCAACCTAAATGATTCTGTGATTCTGTGATTCTGCTGGGCCAAGAGTCCTGTGTGGGTCACTTGATGGAGGGGATGCTGTGTTGGTCACAGAGTGCCACCAGCATGAGCTGTGGGGAAGGGACCCTGCCCTGCAGCCGGGTATCGCTGTGCAAGGGGAGCCCGCTGTGCTCTGCTCGTGATGGTTTGTGTCTGAATTCTTGTGCAGAGAGCAAAAGGTGTCTGTTGGGGTGTATCTGCCTCAAGCTGAGTAGCAGAAGAGCAGAGGTGCTGTCCCGCCGAGCAGGCCGGGTGTCGTGGCTGGTGTGTTTGCAGTTGTCAGTGGCACCTGCACGTCAGTTGAAGATGAAACAGAAACTGCATGTAAAGAACAGAAGGTGACCAGCGAAAGGAGCAGAGGAGAGGAGGAAAGCAACACAGACAAAACACGTGCAGAGCAGTTTGCTTGTCACACCTGCAAACCGCTGGATTGCCCTGAGAGCGGGAGCTCTGTCGTCCTGGCAGTGGCCTGGGCTGGGGTGCAGTGGGTGCCGGGCAAGGCCTGCACAGTGGTGTGGTCTGCTTTGTCACCTTCCCCTGCCCCCAGGCTGGGATGAGCCCTTCTTGGCTCCCTGAAGCTGCAGTGTGGCCACCAAGCCTGGAAAAAACTTTTGCATGTGGCCAGATTCTTTTGTGGACCTGTGCTGCTTCTTTCATTGGGGTTACAGAAGGAATAAACTAAAACTAAGAAAATGATTTTGAGAGGAGGGTTATTTTTATGGTATTTGTTTAATGGACTTCTTGACATTTTGGGTCAAATTCAAACTTTGGCAATTTTCTCCTTGAGTTTGGTTTTGTTCCTGCTTTTTACCACTGCCTCTTTCTCTGGTTCCCTCTTGGCTTATTTCCCATCTGCTTTTGGGAAACCCAGTAATGAGGAGGGGAAGAAGCTGGACTATTCAGCCTGGAAAAGTGAAGGCTTCAGGCTTCCAGTGCCTAAAGAGGCTCCAAGAGAGCTGAAGAGGGACTTCAGAAAAGAGATGAAGTGACAGGACAAGGGGGAATGGCTTCCCACTGCCAGAGGGCAGGGTTAAATGGGATATTGGGAAGAAATTCTGCCCTGTGAGGGTGAGGGTGGGGAGGCCCTGGCACAGGTTGCCCAGAGAAGCTGTGGCTGCCCCATCCCTGGAAGTGTCCAAGGCCAGGTTGGACTGTGTTTGGAGCAACCTGGGCTGGTGGAAGGTGTCCCTGCCCATGGCAGGGGGTGGCACTGGATGGGCTTAAAGCTCCCTTCCAACCCAAACCAATATGGGAGCCTGGTGTGGCTGAGAGCAGGATCTGACTCTGATTACCCAGGTGTCACAGGAAGGTGCTGAGGTTTGGGTGCAGGTGGGAATATGTTACTGTGCAGTAAATGGCATGAGCCATTCTCCCCATGGTGGCAGTGGTGATACCTCTTCAAGGTGTTGCTTCTGATGTCATCCAGATGACAGGCATTGCAGTCAGCTGGGATTGTGTGACTGAGCGTTGGGGTCAGTCTCTAAGTCTTTAATTATTTTAAATTATGTGACAGAGAGATTGAATAGAATTTTAAGTTGACATAAAATAATTAGGGGGAAAAAAGTACCATCTGACACTTTTCACCCACCCTTGTTCTTGTGAGAGTATCATCTGTCAGCAGTAGGGATTGGGAGATCTGGGCTTCACTTCTGAAGCAAGGTGTACATCCTTGCTCTGTACATTCCTTCAGTGAGAAGAGATTGTTGGAAAATATAATTCCTTTCAAACTAAGCAGTAATTCTCCTTCGAATTATACCTTAATAAAAAAGAGAACATCATGGGCAGTCTCTGATTTAGACACACTGCCTTTTAAATCTGTCCTAATTATAGTGCTCATCGCTTAACATTCATTTAATGAAGATCCTCATTTATATGGACAAGGTTGGCAAATAGGAATTAATGCCATTAAAACCCATGAGTCTCCCAAAGGAAACAAATCAAAAGCTCTATGAAGGAAATGAAACCTTACTATTTATAACAAGGCATAGCACAGAATCACCAGCTATACATTTGTGTAGCTGGCTCAGGGGCCTGCAGTGGATCTGGTTTGGAAAGGACCAGTGCCACGCTGCAGGGACCTGCCCAAGGGCACCGCTCCGGGTGGAGCACAGCTTCCTTTGAGGAGCTTCCACTCCAAGGGTTCAGTCTTGTAGGTGGACCTTGGCATTTTTCTTGGTCTTGGTTTCTGGATCAAGACCAGACCTCATCAGCCTCAGAAATAATCACAGTGGTTCATCAAGGCCCAAAGATACAGATGGAAGGAAGACATCATGGTTGTCTCGGTGGATCTGCAGAAGTGGGGTTAATGCACATCTCTGCTTCTGTCATTTCTCTGTATGCTGATGTAGAAGGGCTTGGTTTTAAGAAACACTGTCAGGTTGTTTCCATAGGTGTTGATTTCAACAGGCACGGGAGGTGGATGGTTCTCTGGCTCCTTAAGACCCTTTGTCATGCTGAGCAATGTTTCACTGGTGTGAAATTCAAGTGATGGCAGCGAGAGTGAGGTACAAACCTAAGAGCCCTAAGGGACCCCTACGACCCTCACAAATATCCCCTTACAGAAGGCTCCAAGTCTCTGGTGACCCAAGGACAACGGAGATGGGGAAGGGCCTTGATTTGAAGCCGTGGGAGGACACTGAGGGCACTTGGTGTGTTCAGCTGGAGCAGAGGAGACTGAGGGGAGACCTCCCTGCAGTTCCAATGCCTGGGCAGGGGCAGAGGAGGGACAGGGACTGAGCTCTGCTCTGGGGGGACCAGGGACAGCAGCCAGGGAACGGCTGGAGCTGTGTCAGGGCAGGGTCAGGTTGGATCTCAGGCAAAGGTTCTTCCCCCAGAGGGTGGTTGGGCACTGCCCAGGCTCCCCAGGGCAGTGGGCACAGCCCCAAGGCTGCCAGAGCTCCAGCAGGGTTTGGACAACGCTCTCAGGGACAGGGTGGGATTGCTGGGATGTGTGTGCAGGGCCAGGAGTTGGATTGGATGATCCTTGGGGGTCCTTCCAACTCAGGATATTCTGTGACTGTACGTCCTCTCAGCAGCTCAGCCGGTACCTGTTGGGGTGAGTGTGACCAGTCCTGTCCTGAGATGGGTCACAGTGTTCAGTGTCTGTCAGTACACGTGTGATCTCAGACTCAGAGGTTCCTCTCAGCCTCCGAGCATCTCCCAGATAAAATCAATAATAATTCCCTGATGGATACATGGAATCTATTCACTGTCAAGACTGTGGTCATGTGAAAACGTTCTTTGTGTCTGACTGTGTAGGTTTGTGCATATACAGATGTGTCTGTGTCTCCAGTGGGGAAGAGATAGTGATTTTACTTTGTATTTTGTTTTAAAATTCTGAGAGGATAGGGGATAAATTTGACAAGTTCCACTATTCGTGTCAAGTTTGTAGAGTTTTATTCTGGAAACTAAAATGTGAATTTAAAATGAAATAATAAAAATAAAATATAAAATAAAATGAAATATTAAAATACAATAAAATATAGTGCAATAATTAAAATAAAATACAATACAATAGAATAAAATAAAATGATACAATTTAATCAGAAGCTAAACTTAAGGATAAATTTAATGAATATTGCAATGAGAAAAGGGACTGTAGATAGAACTTCCCCTGAAACCCAGAGAAAAAGTATTTGACACAGAATAAAACATCCAGGTGTGAGAAGACATGGGATAGATTTGTGTGCATTTGAAAAACAGCCTTAGGATTCATGACATTCATTCATCTTGGCTCAAAATGGGTGTTTGTCCCTTTTATATTTCCTTTTCCATATTTAGGTTTCTTCCTATTAATAAGACATAAGCAGATCCAAATTGAGCTCCCACATGCATGGAAGAGGATGGGCTGCAAGAGCAGGAATTGGCTCAAATGATTACAGTTCCTGTGTGAATTTACCTTCTGGTGAGGCACTGTAAGTTCCCATGATTTTGGTCCCTGGAATGTGCTGTTCCTGGGATAGTGTGGCACTGCTGCAGCCTCTTGTAGACAGTGCACCACAGGAAAGGCACATCTCACATTCTTCCTACACATCTCTGCCTCTGTTCCTGCTTCAGGAAAGGGGCAGTGAGGATGTTTCAGAGTTTATTTATGTTAATACTTTGTCTTCTACACAGCATCCTGTCTCTTTGGGGCTATTTTCATCTTGTAAATTAACATGTTTTGCTTAAAGCACGGGTGAGAGCCAAATCACATCTCTGCTCCTTGCCTGACCTACTTATGGTGTCTTCAGAAAGCAGAATTGGGTTTCCCTGCCTCTTTGCTCCCTCATGGAGGGCAGAGCCAAGGACCTGCTTGGGTATCCAGCAGCAGGGGATGGAGCTGAGACTGTGACCCAGTTCACTGCCACCCGCTCCTAATAGCAAAGCCAGGGGCATTGGAGAAGTGACCTGAATCCAGATGGAGCTGGGGCTTCAGAGTCATAGAACCACCGAATTGTTAAGTTTGGAGAAGACCTCTAAGGGTTTGGAAAAGACCCCTAAGTCAGCAGCTGCTGCAGAGGAAAATGATTCATCAGCAAACACACCTGAGCAAAGGCCACCACTGTTTCCTCGGTGAATTTCTTACCTTTTGTGAGGGAAGATATTGAAAACTAAAGCAGCAATTAGTGACCTGTAGCATGTTGAAGTGAGCATGGG